TGCCTTGTTTTAGGGATGTCTCTTACCTGGCAAGCCCATGCATAGGACAAACACGTCCCTGGGGTTTCTGGCCTGCACACAATCACTGGGCTTAATTCATAAGCTCACCAAATCTACCACCAGCATCAAGCTGAGAGCCAGTTTGAGGAGCAAAACCTGTGTGGGTTTATGGATGGAGCAAAAGACAAAATCCATCATTAGCAACACTGAGACTGTTAGTCTGCCCAGGGCAGTGAAGGGGTTGCCAGCCTGGGATGCTCAGGGCTGCAGGAGACATTGGCTGGGTCAAAGGACACCAAATCCCACTTGCAGAGGCAGGTGTCTTACATTGTGTATCCCCATGCAGGTTTATATACCTGTAGAACCTGCTTTTAGCTAAATATTAGCAGCAGTCATGCCAAAAATAATATACAGAGATAAAAACCTGAGATTTTGTCATTGAAATATCATTGGCCAAAAAAAATCCTGTAGCATCACCTCTATTTCCTTCACCACACCTTCAGCACGTGGATGGTGGTTGAGCTGTGCCGCCTTCAGGCAGCTACGTGTCTAAAGGTAGTAAGGAAAGGAGCAGTGTATCCAAAAACGAAGATCCCCAAATCGAACACTGACACCTTTCAGTAGCGAGGCTCCTAACTGCTTACCTCTGCTGTGCACAGGGCTATGGGACCCTGTTCTACCCCAGCGGGGAGTGCTACGAGGGCGAGTGGAGCAGCGGGCTGAGGAGCGGCTGGGGTCGGATGTGCTACAGGGACGGCTCCGTCTACGAGGGGCAGTGGCTGGCGGGCCAGCCAGGCGGGCAGGGGATGCTGTGCCTATGTAAGTACCAGAATGTCCATCTGTCCCTGTGCAAAACCCACACAGAGCAGGGATGGTCCTTCCCTCAGAGACGATCAGCATCACGCTACTCTCCTGCCACCAGCCAGATCAGTGGGTGCTGCCTTGCATCTCCCACACAGCCTCATCTCGGGATGGAGGCAGCTGCCCTGTCTGGTTCCTCTTTTGGGGCTCTGGGCTGGAGGCAGCAGGGGCTGGGTGAGAGCGGGTGCCACAATGCTCAAGGCCACACACATGGAAGCTTGCTTTTGCTATGATTTACATTTAAATGACAGGGATGGTTAGGGCTAGAGATAATACACTGTTAGGTCAGAGAAGAGCAAATCTCTTTTCAAGCCAGGCGCCTTGCCAGGCATGCTTTCTAGCTACTGCATACCAAAGAGGAGACCATTTTCCAGTACAAAAAAACAACAGAGCTGTCTTTCTGGGCTCACTCTATCCTCTCTCATACTTCTGACGCTGGCTCACATTGAGCAAATTAGTAGGGGTTTCATTAGTACACAATCCCTTCCCAGACATGACACTGAGTGTATCACAAATTGGGAATGTTGGGGGCATCATAAAAACATAAATCTGGATTTTTTTTTCTTATTTTGCTGTGGATTTAACACATTTTTCCCCAAAGCCAAGAATCCCAGTCCTTCGCAGTATAAGACACTGTGTTCCAGGAACGTTTGAAGAAATGTTATCTATTATTCATCTCTTCTTTTTATCTTGGAAGCAATCTTAAAGCCAGTCATTAACTAAGCAAAGCAGCCAGGAGGAACAAGCACAACTTCCTCTGCACATTGCGTACATGACTGTGCTCTCTCTGCTGGCTGTAAATTCAGTTTGGACCAATGGCTCTTACCAATGACAGCAACACATGCTTCCAGGGGCAGCTCAGTCAACTACCCCACTTTGCTCCCATCCAAGTCACCCTCTCCAGTACAAACCGGACACCCTCCAGGCTGACCCACCACCACTGCACAGCTCTAGAGCCCGGCTGCACAGCCTGTTCCCCCCCCCCCCCCCCCCCGAGAGCTGGATTCCTTTGGTTAAAATTAGCCAGAGTGATTATTCTGTACCCACAAACGGGTAACTTATGGAGCTTGGGTGCTGGAAGCGTGGCCGTGTGCTGGCAGTGTTGCAGCAGTGAAAGAAAAAGTTCTTCAGCACAGGTCACAACGAGCCACAGCTCAGGGTAAATCGCTCCTCCTGGCAGTGCGCCTGGCAGGGCAAGCGTGGCCAGGAGCAAGGTGCTGCTGTGCCACCACTGCTGCAGCACGGCAGAGGGTGAGGCAGCCCCAGATGCTCTGGGAGGACAGTACATGGGGACACTGAAATGCCACAGTGCAGCCTGTGCAGGCTCCTACCCAGCCCAGCCTGTGATTTTACTGTTTTCCAGGTGGGCAGAGGTTGGAGAACAGGAGCCAAGCAGCTCCCAGGGTGATCCCACAATTTCTGCCTGGGTATTTGCGTCATCTCTTGCCTCAAGGAATGGCAGAGTTCAGCTGAGACCCAAAGATATTTCTACCAAGTCACCTAGTCAGAAATGCCCATTTATTGGCTTAGAAACCCTTTGTCTGGGAAAAAGGGATGGCAGAGGAATCTCCCAGTGAGAACAGGGTGGCCTGGATACCTCCCACCACCACCAGCACCCTGTGCACATCTTGTTCTCAAACAAAAGCCTGGGATGAGGTGGCTTTCCTCCCCTTGCAGCTCTGCATCATCAAGGGGTTTTTCCCATTGGTGATAGATGGATTCCCAGGGAGAAGCACACAGCCCCACGCTCTCTCCACTTGCAGAAAACCACAAAGAGATGCCATACAGCCTGTAAGAGATTGCATGAAGCTTTCAGATGTTTCAGGAATTCCCATGCCATAATTACTTGAGAGACAATCCACCTACAAGTATTTGAAATTGAGATTATTTTAGCTAGCTGCTGCTGCTCCTCCTTGCCCAGACAAGCAGAGCCCTTTGAGGCAGGCTCCCTCTGTGGTGTGTGGCAGGGACAGACCTGAAGCTCATGTCCTGTCAGTGCTCGGGCTGTGAAGGTGACTCAGTGGCTTGGTGCCCAGCCCGAGCTCACGTGCTTGGGATTTGAACACAAAATGAGTGTCAGCAGGTGGAGAACAAAGCAGGGCAACACACACCTTGTGCTGGTGACAAGCGTGGGCTCCTTCACCAGGCATTTTCTCACTCTGCAGTACAGCAAATGGAGCAGTGCCAAAGCAGCACCGTGTGCTATGGCTCGCTGGGAAGGGCCAGACTGGGAGCCAAGCAGATGATCTGCTCCTACCTCAGTTTGCTGCCTTGTTCAGTTTCGCGTCTAGTCCTGCGATTAAATGGTGCATGTTTCATTGCCTGTTCATGTATTGAATTGCAGCAAATGACAATCGGTACGAAGGAGGTTGGAAAGATGGAAAGAAGCACGGTCCAGGGCGATTCTTCTACCTGGATAAGGGACAGTTGCTTGAAGGCATCTGGGTGGCAGACATACCAAAATGCGGGATTATGATCGACTTTGGCAGAGACGAAGCTCCTGCCCCTACTCAGTATCCAATCCCCAAGGTAATTACTAGGATTTTTTTTTTTTTTTAAATGATGTTTTCCACCAGCAGCACTCAGAGTTTGAGGCAGCTCTTGGGGCCATGCTTTGCTCTACAGCCACTGCACCAGCCCCAGGCTCTTAGGGTACACTCAGGCTTTTTTAGCCAGCATTGAGCTGACCAGCCCCACAGGGACAAGCAGCCAGTCCAGTGGTACAAATCCACTGCTGGAGCCTCAGATTCACCTGCACCTGTGAAAGCACACAGTTCTGCACTGAAACCTGACCCAGCACAAAGGAAACGCTGCGGAGACAGTAGTGGGATTTGAGTGAAAACCAAATGATTTCTCTGAGCCCTCTTTACATAATTGATTTGTATTCTTTTTACTTAGATTGAACTAGCCGATCCAGACGCTGTCTTAGCAGAGGCCCAAGCAATGTTTGATGACAGCCAAAACTGATAACCGGATGCTGAAGAGAAAGAGATGCAAGATAAGAATGTGAGCCTGGGTTACTTACTCATTTGAGTCTCATGTCCTCGCTGTGGTATAGCGCTTTGTGGTCACCCCGTTTGTCCTTCAAAACTGCCCCCATATGCTTCAGCATGAGGCCTCTTCCCACCACCATTATTAAAACAAACAAACAAAACACAACAAAACAAACACAAGCTGGAAGAGGCAGTGACTCGGGCCACCTCCTCTGGCTTACTCCTGCACAGAAATAGCTTGCCTGCTGGTTTCAAGGTCTTTAACAGTGCCTTAATTGAAACCCTGTTGCTTTCTCTAAGTGCTATAAAACAAAACCCTAGAGAAGTACAGTCAAATAAATGCACCTCAGCTTAGCTGGATACATACTGGTGAACCAAGTGGCTTTGGAGGCTGTAACAGGTGATGTTTCAATTAGCACTTTTATTAATGCAGCTTTACTTGCTGTCTGTGCACATCACGTAACACAGTGCTTTTTTCCCCTAACCGCACCGGAGCAAAGCACCACATCGAGCACTGGCCCTGCTCCTGTGCCAGCCCACGGCCCTGTGCTGGCTGCTCTGCCTGCACCAAGAGGCACAGGCCACACAGAGCTGCCAGCACCAATAAGTGTCACCTACGAGAACACGAAGGAAGGTGGCACTGCAGCCACCTGGTGAAAACTGCACAGTGGGAGAGCATGTAATTAGTTCACCTGATTTAAACTGCGCTTCTGAGTATCACGTCTTGTTCACAGTTCAAGCAGTCCCTTGACTCTTCACATTTTCTCAGCTGGAAGATAACCTACTTTCCTACTTAAACACTCAGAGTAACAAAACATGCCTAGGATCGAGGTTTAAGCAGTGCTGGTGGGAGGAAAAGCATGCTGCCAACATTATGCTCCCTATACCTGTGTGAACAGGAAACTTCATCTTTGTATGACTGAAATGACTAATAGAGTTCGTCGGAAATACCGTTAGAATTAGCACAACATAGCCACAGAGATAATGGATGTAAAGAAAAACATTTTTTTAGCATCTAAGTAACAAATAATGAGCAGCAACTGAGCATATTTTATTTCATTATTTGAAGTGATTTTATATCTAAAGAAGTGATATACAACAATTGATGTTTAAAATGCTTCAGGTAAACACATAATACCATTAGTATAAATAAAACCAAAACTTTATGTGCACTCTTTAACATTTAGAGCCACGCGGTTGGGTCTGGTTACTACCTCTGGCACACAGTTATGAGAGAGTGCCCAAGGTATGACTTTCATGACCATTTCCAGAGCTGGAAAATGAGAGAAACACACTTGATATCAGAAATTGAAGTGCAGAAAATAGAAAAGCAGCTGTTGTAACAGCTCCATTAGCTCAAAACTTACATCATGAGAAAAATTAAGTTTTTAATTTTGCATTTCCTAAACACTTCCCTGTCACTTTTAAAAAGATCTGCAAGATAAAAAGAAACTCAGCAACTTATCAAGGACAGAAAATAATTTTACAAAATAAGCTTGGAAAACATTTTCTGGACTTACATTCAAAATAATGTTAGAACTTTAAAATACATAACTTACAGACAGAAGTGTATTGTCTCAGCCTGACAGCACCCTTTTGACCATTTGTTCTAGTATGAATATTGAGTCAGATCTGCTTCCTTTACTGAGTCTCCCTTCCCAATATGGGACTGCTATTTCATGGAAGGATGGGCCAATACATTTTGTGCCTATTGCGAAGATTTCATGTTTTGGAATGCTGTTGCATTTAATGCCTTTACTATTTAATCTTCTCAGTGCTCCATGAATGAATACCTGAGGAACTCTAGTCACAATTCTCACCATCAGATTTACACCAGTAAAAGAATATTTATACCTGAAACACAAAATATTGGCAGAGCTACAAAAATCCTGCCTGGCTCCTGTATGCCAGGAGGACTCGTGAAATCAGCACGTGGAAAGTTGTTTTCTGCGTGTGGACAGAGAGTAACCCAGCAAGAAAACTGCTGAAAAAACGCCAAGTCCTTTTTTAATGGTTAGTTTTCAGAACACAAAACGAACCGCGGGTAGCCTTGTCAACACTTCACACTGCAGCAGTGCTGACATGAGGGATCAGTCCCCATCGCTTCAGTGGGCTGCTTCCCTGGTAAACACCACACTCTGCCACCCACCCTGTTGACACATCCCATGGTTTGTAAGTACATCGGGATAACCTGAGATGGAGGTTGGATATAAGAGACCACATCCAGCCCAGGCTCAGTCAGGTACAGCTCCCTCTAACCCATTTGGGTTTAAAAAAAAACAAAACAAAACAAAAAAAAACAAAAAACACCACAGGTTTATATTCCACAGTGTTAGCTACAGTATGGGGTCAAGTTTTGTTCCAATATATTTGAAACCTGTTTGTCTTTAAAGAAAAAAAAAAAAAAAAGGCTTTTACTCAGTGCTTTTACCCATTAAAGCCCAAAGCTTCTCCATACAAGAACTGCATTCCAGAAAATCCACTTCCAGACATAGCTGGAATTACTGAAGCAGCACAGCTGCTGCATCTTTCTTGGACACACCTCTTACCTAAGAAGCAAAAGCTTCCATTTGGCCTCATAAGGAAGAAAACAGAAAAATGACACTGTAGCCTATCACAGATGCACGTCTGAAAGTAAGCAGCAATGTTAATTACAAATAATCTACTTTCATAAATAAATTGACATAAAGAGAATTAGTCTTCCAGATCCTTTGGAAGCAAAAAAAAAAATTAAAATGTATGAAGTTGTTACATACAACACTTCAGCAAGCAGAAGACTTTTTCTAAACAAGGAAGACCAAGGCATAGCTAATTACTTGGGAATCCAATGCAGAGAAAGCACCTTTTGCTGCTTGTGTCTGAGGATTTATTTAAAAATATATATTTTTATATAAAAGTATAAAATAATTACTACTTTGGCTTGGAAAAAACAGCAGTGGTTCTGATTTTCAAGCAAAATTTATCCAGTGATCATTTCCATCTAGTTCCTCCTTTTTTTAAAAAAAGATTCCTAAATGGAAAACAGGCAATTCTATCTCTTCAGATAATACAATACGTGCCAGCTCACGAGAACTTTAGAACAGTTATTGCTTTTCTTCCAAAGAAGAGTATAGTAGTCTCATTCCTACTTATGTGGCCATACCACATCGCAGTAGGACTAGTCATGGGTGTTTAGCAAGTTATAAAATGTGTAACTGCCATAGGAAAAGGCGCTGGAGAAATCAGTGAAGTATTAATTACTTGGCAGCAAAACATACTGGGGAAGGTGGTGGGAAAGCTTTCACTTCTACCATCTGTCAGGCTTTCCAGAGAGAACAGCGCTAGCACTGAAACCGAGTGCTAATTGCTGCATATCCCAAGTAATTTGTATCATGCCATGCAACATGGATTGGACAAGCAATATCTTCTACTAAATGCCAACATCAAATAAAGAGGAAAAAAGATTCTCTATCCATCCCTAACAAATACCCAGATTTACAGCGTCGCTCTGCACGTATTTCTAAAGCCACCATTCAGCACTAACAAGAAACAGACCAGAGTGCTCAGAAGAGGAGGGATGCGCGTGCGGTGCAAGCGTACCCCGCCATCCGTTCCTTCAGGTGTCAGCGATCCAACAGATCATGGAGAAAAAAAAAATAAATGTTCTTGTCATAAAGTTCAAACGACATTTATAAGCCTTCTCTTTAAAGGAAAATCAACAGTTTGACCAGTTCATGCATGGGAGAGTCAACATAAAAGGCAGAAGCAAGATAGTGGGTTTATTTTCTTTAAGTACAGGTTTATGCAAAATGGGTAACAGCTGGGGAGATGGCATCACCTCTGTGATCCAGCTGATCCTGGAGCCGTGCAAATTCAGCAAGTTCATTCAGTTCCTGAAATTGCCTGTCTGTTTTATGGCTGACCAGTGACCTGTAGAAGTGGACGGCAAACACAATGAAGATCAGTCCAAAGGGAACCATGATAGACGTTGATGCAATGGCTGCTGCCTGTCCTGATGTGATGGTGGAGCTGCTGTTCTGGGACGGACCACTAGGGTTCTTCTTTAAGGGAAGGAACTTCACCCAACACAGTAACACCACCTCTGCAAGAAAGAGCAAAGTCCCAATGACAGTAGAAAACGCCCAGGCAAGCTCAATGTGCCGGTGCATACGCTCGTGAGGAGATTCCTTTACAGAGTTGAGATTATGCACATTGCTAACGGCCTCTATGTTTGGAAGAATGCAGGTACTTATCATGAGTGCAAAAAGGTGAACTGCAACAAGGACAGTAGTACAGGCACTGAAGGCTATCAAGAGACCTCGTGGGTAGTCATGGTCTGCATCTAGTTGCACTTCCACCATAGCCACCTGAAAGAAAAGGAAAATTATTATTACCTGTTACATATTTTTTGGCTATCGATTATTCTAATTTCAAATTATTTTAATTGCAGAAATAATTAAGCATGTCATACTAATTCTGTTTATTCTTCGACAATAAAAATACTTATCTGGTGCCCAAACATTTCCGGAACGTCATCTGATCTAAACAAAATCATAGGCTACATTTGAACTTCTCATGTCAATCTTACATCTGAGCTATCACGCGAAGGCCGCCTTGTATTTGCTACTCAGTTGAAAAGCAAACCATCAGTATGCGCTGAACTATGAACAGCACAACCACCTTGCTACCTCCCGCTCATCCCAACAAAACAGATGCATTTTAGGAGTCGAGGTATGTGGTCACAAAGATTTCTTCTTTCCTGTATTATATCGTAGTGGCAGCTTTTGATCTTTTACTACAGATTATAAATTTTGCTGGATATTAGGAAATGTTTTGTGCCCCACACATATGTAGAATTAATACCGTATTAAGTCTTTTGAAGTAGGTATCAGTAACACAAAGGCCTGGGAAGGCTGCAGGCTGCCCTTCACAAGCCTGGTGGTCCTTTCATGTTGTCTATTTGTGTTCTGAAGAGCAGGAGCCTTTCACTAGGAAGATCACCTTTCCGTGGGGCTCTTGGTGATATGCCTTCACTCAAAATAAGTATTTAAGCAGACTCCAGAAAAGCAGTTCACAATGTGAAAGGCTCTACAACATCCGTAGTGGCCAACTAAGCCTGTTTGAGGAATAAGCATGGAGAAGACCGGAGGACATAGCAGACGTTGCTAGCAACTCCTTGAACTACTTGGGAAAGATTCAAGAAGGAATTACAATTTAGCACGCTAAGATCCCAGATTGAGAGAGCACAGCAGTTTCTGTTGTCTGAACTAATAGATATTTGGTGTTTATATCAGAAATCATCCAGTTCATGGGACAAAGCAATATTAGACATCTCAGAGAGCACAGAACTCTGGAAATTGTGTCTAACCACACCTCTGGGTGAGTATCCTACACCTCATGAAGATGCTCCAAGGCCAGTCCTCTACTATCCGATGCAGCCATGCCCTTTTATAAACCCGATATCCAAGCATACCTGTGCTTTAGGAGGAGAAATTCCCGTTAAATAACAGCACCAGGAAATTTATAAACACAGCTGAAATATTTTTGATAAAAGAAATTACATAGCATGCTTTTAACAGTTTTTAAAACCATCAGGTGATTTTAAGCATGTGCAACTGATGAGTGATGCTACCACCGGGAACCTTATTGAAAAGCCCTCCTTTCCTGATAAATTTGCCTTTGAGACAAAGCATTTCCAAACAGGGGATAGTGCAGCAGTGTCTCTAAGTTTAGTGATCTTTCTCAAAGGATCTCATTAAATACACAAAATATGTTCAAAATGCAGAGGAAAAAAACTAATGTCAGCCTTACACCTGAACATGTGTACCCCATATGAGGAAGATGCAGAGTTCTGCCCTTCAGCACAGCTCAGACTGACCCACACCTTGGCTGCCCAGTCTCGATCCTTCATGGAAGCAAGTCGGATCGCTTGTCCAGCAATCACTGCCCGGGTCAAGAAGTGGTCAGCTCCTGCTAGCTTGGGAACTGAGCCATTCCAGCAACACCTCTGAGGAATGGGGAAGATGGTACAGGTGTGTGTGACTGAGGGAGAAGCAGTGGTACCAGGGCCTCAGACTTTCAGCAGCACTAAGCTCTAGCTCTTCTGTAATGCACCAGTTTGCTCTCAAAAGACCATGAAACCAGTTAGGCATTGTATTGCCTAACAGAAATGAGCTCACAAGTCCCACCAAGCCAGGTTTAGCCCACTGCTAAATGACACCAATGGCTCAGACGGTGTTCAGTGTACAGCACGTTTCCAACACCTCCACAATCATCAAAAGCTCACTCAGAAGACTTCCTGAAGTGTAGGTAATATGGGTGCAGAAAGACATAGAGCCAAACTACACCAAGTCTGGGATCTCATCTCTATGCACGCACAGAATCAGCATTCTCAACACTGCAACTCCTTATTGCTAACGTACCAAATATTAAGCCAACCAGGGCCTTTGCTCAGACATGTTTCAGCAGGCATTCAAGGACTTTTGCCAATATTTTAATTCCTTTACTGAAAGCTTTTATCATCGTAAGCCTAACCAATCAGCTAGTGAACAGCATCCAAGTGTTACAAGAAACTCAACAAGAGATGGTATTAATACATATACAATTCTTGTTCAAGGATCTTACGACAGCATTTCTCAGCTATGGAAAACTTCACATTTGAGAGGGTAAACAAAGCCGTCGGGTCTCGCTTCTGCAGAGATCGCTCCTTAGCACCAATGTACTCACGGGAAACCGGGCTTCCTGCGTGCTGTGTTTTTCACAGAACTGCAAGCCTTCACCACTGAGGATTCATTTTCATACTTAACAGAATTTATTTCATGCAAATTTTCTGGTGCATAGCTTGAATTTGAAAGATAGGCTGCCAGATCTATTTTAGACTCAACAACATCCCATTATTGCAGGACATTTTAATCCTCCATCCTAGCACTTATTAGGATAACAACCAAATAAGACACTAAAGAGTTGCATAAAAATAACAACTTTTTCTTTCAAGAACTGATGATTTTTAAGTATTTAATTCACCAAATACTGAAGGCATTTTACATTTCTATTAATCAATGTCTCCATGTAATAACGATATCAAGCATCTGATTTTGAAGTTTAGTCACACTCTTAATTCCAACGTAACAGCTGCTCCTGAGCTCTTTCCATTTCAGTGTCAGCTAAAATTACATTTAATCCAAAAGCACCTATTTCTGATTTGGCTTTATTATATGCATACTCAAAACAACATCTTACAAGAAAACAGCTGAATTTAAGCAGCATTTGGACACTCATGGTCCTGTGCCTATATAAGCACAGAGAAAATCACAGGGAGAGCTGGTCTACAAAAAGGAGAGGTCCAGACCACGAACATGAGTTGCCTGAAGTTCAAGGTACATGGCAAAGCTTCAGTGTATGGCTGACAAAGGCATCAAGACCAATCTGCTCTGCACGGGATGTCTGTTGTGTTGGTAGGCCCCCAAATCACCTCTCAGAAGTGCTTTCAGAAACCTGTCAAGACCGTAGCTGTTACTTAAGGCTTGGCACAAGTAAACTCAGGAGCAGGAAGGGTGTAACTTCCTTCAGCTCAACCCATACTGTGCAATTAGCTACTCTAATTGAAAGCGTACCCTCTCTATAAAAATAATTACAGAGACCATCACTTGAAAGGTAACCTAGGCACAAGTCTTTTAACATGTGCAATAAGCTGGCAGCCAAGTAGTCACCACCACACACTGCCAATAAAGCCCAGTTTGGGACACTAAGAAGTCAAGCTGTGAGTACAGCAGAGGCAGGGCAGTCAGCCACGCTGCCTTGAAGTCTCACATGCACCCGAGCACAGCCAAAACCTGCCAGAGAAAGATTCCATACCAAGGGAGGACAAGCTCCTGATTCCTGAAAGGAATAAATAAATAAATAAAAGTGGCGCATCCCACAGGGGGTGCATGCCTGGGCTGTTTCAGCATCTTCTCCTGAGTGCCCCCCACAGCAGCTTGTGCCAGCACAGCCCTGATGGCAAGCACCAAGGCTGGCCACCACGAGGGAGGACACCCAGCTGGCTGTCCTGCCAGCAAGCAGCACAACCTCCTCCCCACGGCTGGAACCAGAGAGAAGAGTACCAGCAATCACATGCTGGGACAGGAAAGAGCCTACAGCAAAGTGAAGAACAGAATTCTCCACGGGAGCACAGCAAAGCCTCCTTGTGCTCGCACCTGGCAGACTAACTCCTGCTTGAACTCTGAGTGAAAAATCAGTTTGTGCTTTCTGTCTCCTCAAGCTGTCAACGAAGCTAATTTGGGAACCCTTTCACTATAAACTAGCAGAAAAAACTGCCAGTGCTTTTCAATTGCAAGCCTCTGTTCCCTAGAGTAGCAAACTGCCTGAGCCAGGCTCGAGGCACCTAAACCAAGAAGCTCCATTTCTCATTATGAGGCCCTGTGTCTGTTTTCAAACAGTGATGCAAAGCAAGAGAAGTTCCTGTCTCCTTTGCTCACACTGCAATTTCAATACCCAGATCAGAACAGCTCTTGTAAGGTTACACTTGCCATACCAGGGCCCCTGTGAGCACTTCTGCTATGATCCAAGCCCATGCAGTGCACGGTTGGATGTGTACATGCTGTGCTCCATGCAGGACATTCCTCCTCCATGACTTCCGTTACGTTTTGCTGCCATTACCTTGCCTTGCTGCATAACCATGGACTAACGCAGGCTGGAAGACACCTCAGGAGGTCATCTGGTCTAATCCCTGGCTCAGAGAAGAGCTAACTTTAACTTCAGATCACCCTACAGATATAATTGACAGATTTACCGCAGCCCTCGATGAAGCCGTAAATCTGAAACAAGAGTTTCCTGACAAAACTAAGGGATTCTCGTGATCATAGGATTCAAGACTGGAGTTCTCCTAGAACTAAAGGAAGCAGGGCATTCAGGTGCTGTGACTCAGATTCTATAAACTATCAACTTCTCTGCTTTGCAAGAAGAGAGCTGTGATAATAAAACCATTAATAAAATTATTTTCACCAGCAATAATGCAATTTTTTATAAAGAACCAAACACAGCTACAAACAAAGCTTATATAGCCACAGAAATGCAGGATGAGCAACTGTTCTGGCTTGCCACTTGTTCATTTTTACCGCAGTGGTGGGACCTCAATAAACAGCTCGCTTCACATTTCAGCATTATTCCCCAATTTTATAGGCTACAGAGTGTGTTGGTTTCAATTTCAGAATAAAGCAAGTTTCTGTTCCCTTTTTAGGTTCGCCTTCTCCAAAGCAACAAGTATTCAGAGGAAATAAAATGTGAGACACCAATCAGAAGGAAAACAAAAGGGAGGACTGAACTAAGAGCCACCCATGTAGCAGGTCATAATGACACGTGAGATTCG